GGCTGAGACTGTAGGCTCTGGTTATCTGCATCTAAATTCTCTCACATACAACTTGCTTTGCTAATTGGGAGACTAACCAATAAAGTCGGGGTAAGACTCTTAGGATCCAGGTGGCCACTTATTGTTTTTTACATTCTCATGGTCACTGTTGTATGCCATCACGAGGCGTCATTTTCACCCCCACGAGGGAATAGGAGAGGTATCTCACTGTGCTACAGTCGGCATCAAAACCAGTTTTATGATTGTCGAATAGTCTGCTACCTCTTCTAAGAAATATAGTGAATAGAATAAAACAAAACAAAACACTAACTGAAAAAGTGTAAACCCATTAGCAAAATCCTGTCACAGAGGGCCCCCTCCCCCTGGGTCTCTTACCCTGCTCTTATCTTATTTTTTTCCTTAGGCTAATTATCGATATACAAATCTGTTAATGACGTGTAAGACTTCCTGAACAGAGAGCGTATCTTATTCTCGTGGTCACGAACTCTGGTCTCCTAGGAGATGCTCAAGAGATATTTGATGAATGAATGAATGCGTGACTGACTACGTCATCAGTAGCATCATTTCCCAGTGATGCAGTGGACGCCCTAGGTGTTGTGTTGATGTTCAAACATTTAGACTGTGTAGTGATAAGATCTCCTATTTACACATGAGAGGACCTAGCAAGGGAAGCTCATGGATGCTCTGTTTAAAACCTGTGTCTTTCTTTTCTCTTATGTTAATGTTTTGGAGTACAAGCCTTCGGGTTCTTTAAGAGAACTGTTAGCTAACAGTAACCACTGACGATTGGGCATAGTTGGGATTTACTTGTTAGCCTCATTCAGTAGATGCCTACATAATCTGAGGACATGAGTTTTATCTCCAAATCCTCCCTCTCCGAGGAAGGTTTCCGTTAATGAGGAAAGTGTGGGCAGCTGGCTCTCCTCAGGCTTCGTTTCCAGATACCATCAATTAAGGAGAAATCAAAAATCTTCCCTATTACACTTGAATCGAGAGCAATTTATTAACTCTGTGGCGATGTCATATCATCGCAAAATTGCCTTTTATCCCAGATGATTTTATTTGCATTAAAACCCCAAGTTTGGAAGATCCAATTACAGCATGAGATGGAGAGCATGGGGAATGACTTTCCGAGTAGGTTCCGAAATCAGCCACTGCTCAGCTGGCGGACCTTGCTATCTGTGTGGAGCAACAGAATTCATGGCCAGCTCTAGGATCGGTCAGTAACTGTTAAGCATGGAGAACATCAGGCCTCAGTTTTTTATTTTATAAATTCTGAGGCTGGAGAGATCAAGAGATTTCCACCAAACTGAAATTGTTTTGATTTTTTCTGACAAGAACATTTGAGAACAAAACAATTGAACCAATTAACGAACAGCAAGGAGGCCAATTTTTACTTTCTCTCCCTCTAGTTTGCCTTACCTCCTATCCTCCCTCGCTACAGTGACTAGATCAAAGGAAGAAAGGGAGAAAGAAAACCGGGCTCGTTGGCTCCTGAAACACGGAAACTTATGGACAGGATGCGACTGTCATGAGCCACACAAGAACGAAAGGCCTGCGGCATGTTTCGGCTGCTCCTTGGACTTGCTATTTGATCAAATGTGTGCCAGGGGATAATTGTGCAGGGGTCTCCCTGCTACTGAGGAGGCTGGCTGGGAGCTTCTCTAGCAGGTCTGTCTGGAGACAGATGGCGTCGTTCGGCTTTCCTCTCTGGTGCCATCTGGGTCCGGGATGGAAAGTAAGGGAACAGCTTAGACTACAGAGCCTCCTAGTAATGGTCAGGGGCCCACACCTGCTCTGTGAGCCCAGACTTCCCCAGGCTTGACAAGTATTTGTTACATCAAGCCCCAAGTCCCCACTTAGGACATATGGCCCAATTTTAGGGGGAAAAAAAAGATACTTTTATTGTATTTTTATCTTTTTTTGAATAACTTCATTGAGACTTGACCTAAACAGGAAGACATCATTCTCTCCAAAGATCTAGAAGTTGACAACTTTTTTCTCTAAGGGAGGGTCCTCCGAAGGTGTAAGAACCCGTTTCTACCTCTGTGCTCATGCTATAGACATGCCGCTCTGTCCTAGCAACCACAGGACACCAGTGGGGAAGGCCGTAGATGGTGATTGGGCCAGAGATATCTGCGGCAGATGGACGCCTTGCCGCAACATCACACCATAAACACTGGCTCCTCTAACTGTCAGTGCTGCTAGCTTTCCACACCTCTTCCTTCCAGCCCAGGGTAGACAATTTGAAAATGTATAGATATGGTAAAGCCTTGAAAATACCACAAGACAGTTAATAACATGATTTGACAGTATAGTAAAAATATTGATTTAATTGCTTTTAACTCAATATCTTATTAGGAAGGAAAGACACCTCAAGTCAGACAGTTGGACTTTAAGAGCCTGATACTATCTTAATGTAGTATGAGCAATGAGAAATAATGAGAAATGAGCATTTAGAAACAGACTGAGGCATAAACTTTTTTTTTTTCTTTAAATTTGGCTCGGGTAATCGAATCTTGATTTTAAATAGTACTTAGTACTTGGATGTAATATACTACCTAGTGCTCAGCCACTTATCTATCATTATCTTTTGCACCCTGTAATTGGACAAACAAGAAACTATTCATAATAATAAGTTTGTTCCTAATTGTCTGTTTGCCCGAGTCTGGGGTGCACACTTCAATCGTCCTGAACGGAAAGAAAACTGCTTACTGAATTCCTCCCATTGTCTGTTCGGCTCCTTACCAACGTGTGCAGCAGCCCCACACCTGGGCAGTCCGGAGCACCCCACATTGCTCCCTGAAACAGCAGCCATTTCTCCTGAATGCCACGAGCAGGCAACATAAATCTTACTTGCTGCAAGACAGAGCCACCATTGAACCACCTCTCCCATCCCCTGCAGGCACAGAAGCGTCCTTACTGTACAACTCAAGCAAAGAATTTGCCTTCTGGAATTTCCATTAGATCTCACCACTCGGCTACTGAATGTATCCTGTCGCTGGCTTTATTTATCACAGTGATTTCTTGGTGCTTAGGGTCTTTATTTCACAGCTACCTCACACATTGTGCTACCCTGGTCTCCAGCACACAGAAGGCATGCGCTGAGAGTTTTCAATTGAAAAGCCACGTAGGCCACTATTGGTCCATTTTCTGCTTTTATTATCAATAAAACAATAGACCAGCATTCCCATACTATGTGGGTGAAGCCTTCATCGAAGGACATGTGGCTGTCATTATCTTAGGCCAAACTGCCTCCTGGCCCCCTAGTGCGGATGACGTGACGGGCCACCAGAAGGAAAATAGTAGAACAACGGAACACCAGTCACAGAGTGGGCTGCTGGCCGGGGCTGTTGAGCTGTGGCTCCCTGAAAATGTCCCTGTGAATTTAGTGGCGCCTGGATGGCAGGGAGCACAGATCATGACAGAACATAAATTCTCCTCATAATGAGATTAGTAGGCAGACAAAATAAATGTCCTGCTGTTATATTAGGGGCAGGCTGTAATCTGCTGTTTCCCTTGGAAATGATCCTTTCTTTTTGCAACAGGGGACCATGTGCAACTAACTTGAACGCAACAGATTCTGTTTCACCACAGAGCTATTTTTCATCCTCCTCTGTCTTCTTAATGGTCATTGGGGGGGAGGCGTCTAAATGCTGTAAGTCTTAAAGACTGTTACCAACATGAATTCTGGGAATGTACGCTCATGGGCATCAGTTGTGTCCCCCAGTCTCCCTTCCGCAGACAAGACCTGTGCAGCACCCCCTCCAGTTTCTAAGCCACAACCCTGCTGGGAAGGTGCCATGACCCCGTGGGTCCCCTCACTTCAGCCTTCAGGATCAAAGGCAGGATAGACTCACTATTGTACTGAGGGTATTTAAAAAAAAAAAATCCATCTTTGCTGCAACTCGACTACCTAAAACCATATCACATGCTAAGGAGCCTTTAAAAAAAACTATACGCCTAGATCAGGTGAATGGAGAAACAAAAGCCTTGAGGATGGAGCTTGATTGCAAGAGACTTCCTTAGTTTGCCGCAGAAGGTGCTCTCACCTGGGAGTACAATGCCTTCCTCTCATCAAAAACGCAAGATAACATCTCCTCCTGTATCCTTTCAGAGAACCTGAGGCAAGTTCATGGCCCATGCCATTCGGACTAGTGAGTACATTTAATCAAAGCCTCCTGGGAAATAACTGGGGTTTGCCCTGCACGGTCACCAAGCATGTTAAGAGGTCCTTTCGAAAGGAATGGGAAATCAGAGTCTGAATTTAGAAGTATTTGACACTTTTGCATAAAGTGCCGTCCAATGCCTGCATTTTCTGAAGCCCAGGCTTTTCTAGGAAACTTCATATTCTGAAGGGTCTCACACTGAGGTCTCAGTTCACAGCATTTGGACATCTTGTTTTTCTTAGGTTGTAAAGAGACCACAGAGATCTTAAATTTACCTAGGTGCTTTACAGGTTATACGCTGCTTTTTAAGTGTCATTTCGTCCGACGAAAGACTTCTCTTTCCACATCGGGGTCTCCCTCTAAACATCCAAACTACAAACACAGCTACATTAGGCTGGGAAATTGGTTTGGTTTTTTTTTTTTTTTTGGCCCAAATTAATAAGCGTTTTTTCTTTTTTAACTTTCCACATCTCAAAAAGCTTGAGTTGCATTTCCGCTTGAGTCTTTCAATGTTTGCAAATATTTAGTCAGTTCTCTCACTCTCTAAACAATGTCCCCGTTCTCTGTTAACCCCTTGTCAGATGAAACCCTTGTTTTAACGCCAGTGAGTGGCCCCACCTACATTCATTTGTGCTCTCTTCTTATCTACCCTTTTCATTTCCAGCTCTTTCTTATTGTCACTATGTATGACCCCAGTTTTCACTGTCTCTCCATGCTTGTTATCTAATATTTAAGTAGCAAATGAATGCGCTTGGAGTCACAGAACAGGGTCAGCCAGAGTTTCGTGGTGCATAATCTCCTTGACGGAGCTCTCGGATGCTGCGTCCTTACCTCGTACAAGTGGACTTGTTCTTGGGTGACGGCAAAGATCAGCAGGACGTTGTTTTGTACCAGTTTATCAATGAGTTGGCCGATTGTTGGATATTCCTAAAATCGATACAGAGATTTAAAGTATCATTGTAACAAAAGAAGGTAACATTTAAAGAAATGTTCCTTTTACAGTTGAGGAAGTCAACATTCGCAGGCATTTTTATCTGCCACTCTTAAGGAAACGCACATTGTTGGTGTTATTCGCTTAGCTCAGGAATTATCCCAAGTCTTGCAAGTTCAGGTAAATCCCAAGAGTGGGCGCCGGTGGTAAGCCTCAACTCCTAAGCAGGCCCCTTGGAGTTTATGTCAAGACTTCTACTGTGCCATATCACCTTCCCCAAGCACCACTCAGCAGCAGGTAGGAAGGTTAGACTAGGGGGTGGGTAGACTGTGATGTATGTGTCTGGGGTGGCTCTTGTACCTCTTACTGGAATTGGATGAGGTGACATGAAGGTTGAGGAACGGATGGAGTGTGGATAAATAACACACTGTCATTCCTAGGACTGTCTGATCTGAGACAGGCCTACACCTGTTCTCGGGGCTGGTTTTATTGCCTTTGCAGTGCCATAAATTGGTGGTATGGAATCCTACAATCTTTTTTTTTTTTTTTTTTTTTATTCCAGTGTGACTGAAAACAATTTGTCCTTCTGGCATGGAAACATTCATTCCCTACTGATGTAGGGAATGATAATTTTAAAAACAAAAGAAGTTATTCATCATCAAATTTTCGAGGCTAGAAAACATGAAACACATTTGCCTTCCTTAATATGATTCCAAAAGTGGATAATATCAGAAGAGGAAGCCTAGGAAGGAGGAACCTGTAGCAGATTAAGCTAGGAATACGGATGTGACTGTAGCTTGTCAAGCGGAGGAAGAACACTGATAAAGCAGCCTTCTATTCTCCAACATGTGCCTTGTTGTACCGTGAGGACTGGCAGAGTACTTTTGTCTGAGGCCACCATTAGGTACAAGGGTCAAGTTGAGCAAAAGGTGTTTCTGTTTCTAAATTACCCAGGGAAACATCCCACCTATGACTCAGGCTGTGATTGCTTTTTTTTTTTTTTAAATCACATTTTTAAGTGATTTATTTATTTTTATTTATGGCTGTATGAAGGTGTCGGATCCCCTGAAGTTACAGACAGTTGTGAGCTACCATGTTGGCACTGGGAATTTTAACCACATCTTCTGGATGAGCAGCCAGTGCTCTTAACTGCTGAGCCATCTCTCCAGCCCCCCACATTACCAGACAATGGAATTTTTCCTTAGTCTGACACATTCAGTACCATTTGCTTTTCAGTTGCTCAAACTTTAAGCATCCTTCACTCAAAAGCCTAAGGCCCTCCAGCTCTGGGTCCTCCTTACCCATGGGTGCCCACCAGTGTGCTATTAGGTGTGGAACCAGGATCATACCATACAGCCCACATAGGATGCTGTTTTACGTTTGAGTGAGATCTGTTACTTTAGTGCTCACAATTCTATTGAAAAGGCCCATGACTTCTGTGCTTATGCAGAAAAGTACTGAGGTAAACATTTATTAAATGAGAAGGATGTGTTAGGTAATGGGTGTTGTTGGTTCTATGATCGTTTTTGTTTCCAAGATCTCTATTATGGGGCATATGATAAATTAATGACAAAGGGACCCATTTCCTGGAACCTCATTGACTAAAAGATAAACTATGGTAATAATCACTGTGATTCTCACGTGAACAGACTGCAGTTAGGGACCATGTTTGTGCGGGGAATAAAACTGTTCAAAGAGAGCCAGGAAGTGGTGGCACACACTTTTAATTCCAGCACTCAGGAGACAGAGGCAGGTGGACCTCGGTGAGTTCTAAGCCAGCCTGGCCTACAGAGCCAGTTCCAGGACAGCCAGAGCTACAGAGAGAAACCCTGTCTTGAAAAACAAGCAAACAAACAAGCAAAAAACAAAAACAAAAGAAGTTCAGAGATAGTAGGAAATCTAGGTTGAAGTCCAGAATTAGGTCAAAGAATGATCTAAGTTGGTGAACTAGTAGTTCATATAGAATAGCTACTCCCTCCACCCCTGCCCAGCAGTTGACATTGGAATTCGAGGTTTCCCCCCTCCTTCCTATTCATACTTGTATAAATCATCATTTGAATGGTCGTTTAACTTTCCTGAGCCATGCTTCCTAGTACGTTAAATACACATGACTTTCCCAGGTTGATGGCTCCCACTTCCACGTCATGTTGTTTGTCAGCTCCCACTGAGCTATTGGAAGACAAAGATAACAAACCAGCCCAGGCTCTGAGGACAGCACTGTGAGAAAGACAGAAGCGAGCACATTGTCACATAGACATGTGCGTGAAGGCACCCACGAATAATGGTGAAATGAGAAGTGACGGCTTTGGGACCTAGTGGAGGTCAAAGAGGACTCTCTGGGTTCTAAAGGGCAACTTCGTTTCTTGAGTGCAGGATGCAATATGCTCTATTAATAGAAATAGCAGTTGGACAGAAGATCAGATGAGATCGTGTGGGGCAAAGACCTCGAATGTTTTTTTGTTTGTTTGTTCCTCCCGATCACTGGGACACTGCCAGATGTGACCTCTGAAATTTTTACCTTGTTTAACAACAAGTTTTGTTTTGTTTTGTTTTTTTTCCCAAATGTTACCAGCATTTTTCCGAGCACAGAACATAAGCTAAGTGTTAATAAACAGAGCACCGCACCGTGGTTGTGGCAGGACTGGGGGACAGCGATGCTCCAAGAGTCCTCAGTGGTACTGTTCTGACCAAGACCGTGGTTGAGAATAGAGAGCTGCTTTTTGTTGGCCTTAGGATGTCTGAGAAGGTAGAGAGGATTTAAACTCTCCACATCTACCTGGTGGAGGTCGCGTGGGCTCTGTGGGGACCTGCAATGCAGCTGAGGTGAAAGAAAGCAACGTCTAGCCACTGAAGCAGAGAATAAAGCACCATTTTCACCAAGGGTTAGTCATTTCACGGGGCTTCATTGCAGTGGTCGCCACACGGGCCTACCCGGGACTTGGAAAGCTGGAGAGGGTGAAGGTTACTTACCAAGACAGTTGACATGGAGTATTCATTCCTGCTGTCCAAGTGGCAGAGCCCGTCGTTGGGAATGACAATGCCTGCCAGCTTGCTGTCCATTCCAAAATGAGAATCGGCGTCACTCACAAAAACCAGGAGGTGGAGTGAGTCGTTGCGCCAGCCAATCCTTTCCTAGAGTGAGAAGGAAGCCACAGGTTGTGTGGAGATGGGAGCCCGAACTGTGGATTGTGAAGCTTCTCACAGTCGGATTCCGAGCAGTGAGTGGAGAGCCTGCTCCAGCCTTTCTATCTAAAGAGGACTTAGAGCTCGCACAAGACATGAAGTCCTACAGCATTTGCCTTTTCCTGGACAGCTTTCAGATTTGCTTTTTTTTTTTCATCACACACACACACAAAAATAAAACAAAACAACAACAACAAAAAAACCCAAAAACTGTTCCACTACAAGTAGTGCTTGGTTCATCTTGACTACTAGTCATTGATCTTAATTGTTCAGCTTTCAGTTTTTCAGAAAAAAGAGAGAGAGAGGAGGGATTGAGGAAGGCCACATCATTCCAAATTCAAGCTAAATGCAATGGAAATTGCTTATAAAGGAAGTCTGTTTCATGAAAATGTTACCCACCACTTAGGTGTGTGATTTCTAACGATGTCACCCAAAAATTATAAACCACAGGTATAAGGACTGCTGGTTGACATGGCCCCGGAGTCCTGCTGGCTGAACTTCTCTGCAATCTGTGTCTTAGCAGAGCTCTCCCAGAACTGTTATTAGTCTAGGAAGCACCTGGGCAAAAAGATATCCTGGCTGTCCTGACCTATCTATTCTTTCCCCTCTTCTTTTAACTCCTTGACTCTTCTACCTTCTTGGAGCTTCAACCCTGCCCTCTCCATGAAGGACTAATGTCTAGAGAGGACAATCATTCTCCTCAAATAGTCAAGGAGGATCTGAATCATGACAGTGCTGCAGAGACAGTGACTTCTGATCCTGATATTATTAGTTCAAAACAATAGATTTTTATCTTGAGCTATGGTGCCTCTAAAAGCCAATGGGCAGGGATGTAAGGTTCTACAGTGCTTGCTTAGCATGCACAAGGCCCCACACCATTAACAAAAAGGTGAAACCTAATAGTTTTGTAATTATGTGTATTGTATACTAACTCAGACATTTTAAATTTGTTTATTTATGTTCTGCCTTTAATTTTTTTCTAATACAGTTAATTAAAAAGCAGACAAACCGATATTTATTTGAACCACATTTTTCTTATACTCGGATACTTTTATTTGTTTATTGAAATATTAGACTTCTGAAACAATCTCTCACTTCAGCATGATTAAATTAAATATTTAATATCCATTTTATATTGTAGGAAAAGGATCAAAAGTAGAACCATGGTGAGCAAAGGAAAGACAATTAACTAAGCTTCCCAAAGCAGATTTATTAATAAAAGATAAAATTTATGCTAAAAGGATAGAAGATTGACCCTACCCCCACCAACCCCATCCCACACACCATACCTTACACACAGCAGCCTGCATAATAGCATCAAATCCACCTTCAGGCGTGTCAATATTTGCAGAAATCTTCTGTTTCCTCACTATTTCATTGAATCTCTCGGCATCATCAGTCAATGGCAAAATGTGCTTGAATCCAAATGTAGGTAAACAGAAGTAGGGAATACTACTACAAAAGGAATACAGAAAAACATTCTTAAATGCGATCCAGTTCGGTTAGCAGTTCTGAGAGCATAGGAACATCTCCTTCAACAGTGACTGATTTTCTAAAGTCTTGGGTTGCCATGTTCTCCGCCATCTCAGCCTGGGGCCTCGGGGATCACATCACCAGACCATTCCAGGGTGTGTAATCACTTCTTCCTATTTCCAATCAACCAACATCCACCCGATGAGTCACGTTTACCTGATAACAGCCGATTTGTGCAGCTTTGTATTCGGATATCTTGACCTGTTATCAAGCATGAGCCACTCCCTAGCAACAGGGAGAGGACCGACCACATTTCCTTCTTCCTCTACACCACTGCAAAGCTCTTGGTTCTTGTATTAGGATTTATCTTGCTGTGGTACAATACAAGGACCAAAAGCAGCTTGGAGAGGAGGCTTTAGCTACTCTTACAGCTTGTAGGCGTGGTTGAAACTCCCCAAGTAACCCATGCATGTTTTGAACATGTGATTTTCTGCTTCTCCCTCAGTCCTCCAACTCAACATCACAGACATATGACCTTTTGATAGTCTATGTAGTGCCGTCTGGTTTGTTTTTCATCCCCTCCCTCCCCGCTTTTTATTGATGATTTCACTATTTGAAATGGTCCACGTCTCATACTAAAATGCTGTCTAGTGTTCCTAAGTGCAACAAGGCTGTGATGTACTTTGTGTAGAAAGTATGTAATGTTCCTTCAGACATTACAGGTCAATGGTAATGCATCAACAATATTGATCAAGTCAGATGTCCTTAAACCGAAACCCACAAAAAATAAAAGTGGTCACGGGTCAATTAACTACAACAAAGGCTCACAGGCACCTAATTCCTTTCGGAACAATGTTCAGTATGATTGCAGATCAATCCGTCCCATAGTCATGAGAACTGATAGGGACCATAGAACTGAATAACCCGGTGTCTTATGGGGACAAGAATGTTGATGTCCATGAAAATGGTCATCTCTTTGTTAGTAGCCATCCATAGAAAGAAGCTCAGATTCTGTGTTCCCGAGCATAAGAACAGGACAGTTTGATGGAGCCTGGCACTGACTGGCACAGAGCCAATGTCTTGAGATAGCCCCAGAACAGACGCTCTGGTCACAGGTCTCTTTTTCCCCACTTCCTCAGCCAAAGGGAGTTTTTAGAATCCCTGGCAGCCAATGGGATAGCACGTCATAGCTGTCATTTGCTTTACAATGTGACGTCTCACTGCGAACAGGAGAACATAGTAGGGCTGCGACTTCCACATGCTGAGGCAGTTGCACCACGCTCTACTCAGCGACCTGATCGGGCTTTCTCAGAATGCGCTCAGCGTAATAAAAGAGAAAATGCTAGTTTCGCTTGTTTGTCCCTGAGGAAATATTACAAATCATTAATTGTATTAGCTGTCCATCTTCAAATACATGTTTTTTTTTTCTTTAACACACAGAGAGCTTGCATAAAGCATTTCTGCTGCCCATGAAATACAGAGAGGAAGCATTTGCATAATTAAGCTGAATTGGCCTCTTTTTTCTCCTGGACCATCATTTTCACCTTAAGGAATGATTGACAGCTAAACTTAAGTTAATGCAACTTGAATATTTGACAAAAGTGTTCTTAAAAACGAACAAAGCAAGACTGTCATGTCCAAGAACACAAATGCTCGCATTGCTGCCAACAGCAAAACTCAAGGTAACTAGAATATTTGAATGGAGGGACTTGCTCCTTTGCTACCTGAGAGATTGACAATACTCCCAGCCTTTTCCAGTACTTCAAGACTCATGTGATGTGGGTTGGTGGTGATACTAACAAGCATGACTTTTGATATCACAGAATCTGGGGGAATGTGCATAATTCAGTGAACTCACGTTTTACAAATGACCAGAGCCATTCACACTGCAAAATCATGGGTGGCAGGCGTCATCCCCATGCAGGCAGATCAATGGACTGCAGGATAACACTATAGGAGGTGGGCATTGATACCGATTCAGCTTCTGCCTGTCACCTAGCCTAATGTAAGAGAAGACGAATGGACACCGTCACCGGAAACAGTATCCGGTGACCAGTACATTTCCGCGTGAGTGCGACTGTCTTCCTGGCGTTCTATCAAAAGCACCGCAATAGCTTAAATGCATGAGTGGCTGGACTAAGCCAGCTGCCTTCCAGAAAACCAGCTGCTTTAGAAATCTGCAAAGATGTAGACTACTATCACTCTATTTGGGAGCAAAGAACTTGCCGATTACTTGTGTTTTGAAAAATGAGTTATTGTTTATTAAAATGTGTTCTAATATGTAGTATTTACTATTATAAATATTAAATCAATAAATTGATGCTTATTTGTTCTATTATATTATGTTAAGTAACTAGTAGCGGGTATAACCCACATAAACTGAAACTCTCCTAAAGGTATAATATCGTCACCATCGTCACCATCATCATAATCTTTATCAACAGCAACATTATTATCATTATTGTTATCATTACCATCACTATAGCCAGAGTCTCTCTTTGTACGTCAGAGTAGCCTTATACTTGGGGTCCTCTTGGCTCTGCCAACTGAGGGCCAGGGCTAACATACAATGCCACACATGGCTGAGGTGTTAATTATTTTTTCATTGTTGTATATGTATATGTGTTTGTGTGTTATGTGTGTATGAGTGAGGTCAGAGGATAATTTTCAGGAGTGTATTCTCTTCTACTGTGGGACCCAGGGATTGAGCTCAAGTATTCAGGAATGTATGGCAAATGCTATTGGCTGCTGAGCTATCTTGATGCCTCAAGAGGTGTTAATTAAGGGTGTAAAGCAGTCCTGAGGTTTGAAAGTTTGAAGACCACTAGATGGGAATAACTAGAGATGAGGTAGTGAACTAATGGGAGAAAGGAAATTGATGCTTATTTTGAATGTCTATTGTTCTGAGCTCATTCAGTCTCTTGATTGAATCACTGTCATCCCTCTACATGGGTAAAGAGACTAAATGCAAAGGCCATTGCATGTTGCAAAACTCTTCCAGGCTCTTTCCTCTTATCTTTCATTGTTAATAACATTTTTATTCTATACTTACAAGCTTTGGTTTGGTTAAGAAATACAAGTTTTCATTTTGTTGTGTATATGTGTGGGATGCCAGCTAACTAGAGGAACTTAAGAGAGCTAGCGATATAATGGGAAGCAAATCACAGTGTTACAGTTTTTATTTTTTAAAAGTACTTTCAATATACAACTTGGGTGATAAATTTTTCCAGGAGGAAATAAAGCAGCAGCTTTAGCCAACAAGACTATATAGATCCTCTCAGAAGACCAAATACGTGATCACCCCTCAGGTCCCCACAAGCGGTGCACTGCGGTGCTCCAAGTCTCTGACAATGCTCAGGTGTTACCAATGGCACCTGGTACTAACTGAGCATTTAGCAAGGTCAAGTCGAATGCCCATGTTCATGACCTGACTTACTCCTTACAACCACTCTGTGAGACTAGAATCATGACCCTCAATATACTGAATTAAGAGGAGAAATGACACACCTACGGCTGTGTTAGGAATGACTGCCGAGTCAAGCCTTCATCCAGAGCTGACTTTGGAGCCCATGTTGTCATCCAATGTGGCTGTCCACTAAAGAACTTCAGTTCCTTACAGACTGGGTCCAGATCCCCCACCCCTGGATATTTCCACACTTAGCATACTGCTTGAGACTCTGTAATTTTTTTTAAACAAACAAATGACTGAAAAACTGCATGAATGAAGGCCAGGTATGTTTGCTTATGCCAATGATCTCAGTACGTGGGCTGAGGCAAATAGGTTGCTGTCTTTTGAAGGCCAGCCATGCTCCATGGCAAGTTCAAGGCCAGTCTTGACGATAGTGTGAGACCCCATCTCAAACAAACAAAACAAAAGAGTGCTGAAATTAAATACATACCTGAGCTAAATAAAGAGCCAACCTGCCTTTATTTTTCTAGAAGCTTACTTAAGGACTAGATTTCTTTGCTAGTTCAAGATGGTACCTCCCAAATTAGCCAAATCATCTAACGTTGTTAATTGTAATTGTTTCTCTGGTAACATTCTATACTCATTGTTTTCCTATTGTATGTCAAATTGCTACATCTTGTCTAACCTGAGACAGGAAGAATGGTGCAGAAGCACTTGGTCCTGACTGAACCGCCCTCGGTTAGACTACACTGGAGCCTGTTGCAGGAGGTTATGTGATATACCAAATAATTACATGCAAGCTTCAGGCAGGTACAGAGTTCTTTACTTTACCAGAGAAAAAGCCAGAAGCAAAAGGGATGCTTTTATTTAAATGAGATGATTTTTTTTAACAGATTTATTTACCTTTACAGATGGCTCTGATAAAAAGCACCAATATTACTACTTATTGTTTGGCATTTTTAAAGAATGCATTTGAGTCATTATTACTCTTCCTAGATATCTACATGTCTCATGTTACAGGAATTTCTAGAAGCCACCTAGTGTCTTTCTATCCAGCAACAGAATCCTGATTTTCAGGGATGAATGTCTTCTTTTCTTTTCCTGCTACCTATTGATATGTAAGCAAGATTTAGTGTAAAAATTGTAACCAAACATCTTAAATAAGGAAAATAACATTCAGCACACATTTGTAATTAAAGGGACAAATGTATCAAGGCAGGGATAGAAGGGACCTTTCTTACCTTATAAATGAAACTGAAAAACTCACTGGCTGACAATATAGCCAATGGTGAGACAGAAGCTTTCTTCTAAGACTCGTTAACATGACAAGGTTTTTCCTTTCCCAACATATTAATTAAAAACTGTGCTGGTGATCCTAGCCAACACAATAAAGCAAGAAAAGTAAAAAGAAGAATGGCTACTGAAGAAGAAGACGTTGCTATTCACAGATTATATGACTAGAAAATCAGAAGACTATAAAAGCAGGTTAGGATTAATAGAAAATTTGGGAAGGTTTCAGGACAAAAATGAACATTCAAAATAAGTTGCATTTTGATAAATTACTATTGAAAACTGAGAATTTAAAAATTTCAAGGAATAGGTGATGTAAAGAAAGAAGAAAGTAAGGTTAAAAAAAGTTTGGTTTTGTTTTTCACTAGAAACAGTGAAGTGGTTTTCAGAGACATTTAACAAGAATCAAAGAAGTTCATGACCATAAGGCTTAAGGGTTTAAGAAGTCCATTTTCTCCAAACTGATCTTTTGCTTCATTACGGTCTCTTTCATAATCTCAACTTTTTTTTTTTTTTTGAGAAACTGAGAAATTGATTCTAAAATCTATGTGGAAATGCAAATGATCTAGGATAATCAAAAGAAGTACAAAGATGGAGATCTTACTCTCCTGACTTCTCTTTTGGTAAAGCTACTGTAAGCTGAGACATGTGTTTTGACATGACCTGGAGTCAAAGGATCTGTGAAGGAGAAATGACTATCTACACTCAGACTCACATGCAGCCAGTTGATTTCACATTGAGCTAATTCCCTGTGGAAAGTCTTGCTTAACCAACAGGTCTGTAATACCATCTATGTGGAAACAAAAGATGAGTCTCAATGTTTTTCATTCTCAACATAAAAGCTTATTTGGTTGTGAGCATCAGACTAATTGGAAGGCCTTTAACCTTAAAGTTTTTATAAGAAAATATAGAAGAAAATTTTCTCACCTTAGAGTAGGCCAGAGTCTCTCAGAACAACAACAAAAACAAAGTACAAATTTAAAATTGATATACTAATCTTAATCAAAAATGTAAAAAGAAACATTGTTAGTATAATAAAAATACAAGCTACAATCTAATAAAAATATCTGACGGACATATTGGACAAAGATCTTGTATTTAAAATACATAAAGAGGGGCAAGAGAGATGGCTCAGCAGTTAAGAGCACTTGCTGCTTTTGCAGAGGACACACGGTCAGTTACCAGCTCCCACATAGTGACTCAGAACCATCTGCAGCTCCGGTTCCAGGGGTTCTGACACCACCTTCTGGACTCTGAGGGCACTGAGTGCACAGATGTACCAAATACTCAAACACAGAAAATGAAAGAACCCTTGTAAAACAATATTAATGACATAATGAATTTTCTAAAATAGTTAAAATATTTGAAAAGATGTTTTTTAAAAAACTCAAAAGATAATTTCCAAAATAAGACATTAGCACCCATAAACACATGAAAAGATGTTCAACATCATTCATCAGTCAACACAAATTAAAGCAACAGTGAGTCAGTGTTACAAACTCATCAGAATGCCTAAAATTCAAAGGACTGATTTTTCAATTTAGTACGTTGAATCCTACTAATGCCATCAGTCATTAACGATGGTGCAGATGGGAGCACGTGGAAACCTTTCAAACTCTTCTTAGAAATCAAAGGTGGCACATCTATATTGCAAAAGAGCCTGGTGGTTTCTTGAAAAAAAAAATGATTATCATATAATTCAGCAAATCTATTCTATGAATGCAAAAAAGAGCAATAAAAAATACAACTTTGTAAAGATTTATCTGCAAGTGGTTACACCAACATTGTTCACAACATCTAAAACATGGAAACCACCGAATTCTCCATCAGTGGAAGAACAAATAAAGAAAGTGTAGCAGATCCATAAAGGACCATGTGTTAAAACGAAGAGGAACAGACTGCTGATATGCACAACAAAATCATAAAGAAATCTAAAAGCATTTTATTGAACAAGAGAAGCCAGACACAAGGAATACGTACTACACATTCTTACATCTATATGAGAGCCAAGAACAGGCAAAGAAGAATCTAAATGATAGAAATCAGAAAGTAGATGCTTCCAAGGAAGCAGAATGGACTCTACTGGGTCATGAAGAATCCTTCTGAGGGGATGAAAGTCTGGTATGTTGATTATTTTGGGATATTCAATTACCCAAAACTCATCAAACAGAATTTTTGCTGTGAGCCTTTTTTTTTTTTTTTAAGAGCATAACAATTAGATCTTTATTGATCACCTATTTTCCTCCCCCGTTTACTTCCTGGAATGAAGACATGATTAGTATCCCAGCAGCCTTCTTGGACCATGAAGACAGAACCCAAGCACCATAATGGCTGAGCAGACAGCAGGAAAGCCTTGAATTCCTGCGTGTGGATCTGCTAAGTGAACCCTGAACTGCCTTTATCCCAACACCTCCATGGCGAAGAGGGAAAAATAATTCTCCTTTTAAGCCAGTGCCTGTTATTTGCAACTAAACACAATTCCTAAGAATTATAACCAGTAAGAATTTCCTTTCGGGGTAAAATTGTTTTGGGTTATATTAGATTACAGTTGAGAACTATACTACTTTTCTTTTTTCTTTTACTTTTTTATCTATCTATCTATCTATCTATCTATCTATCTATCTATCTATCTATCTATCTATTTGTTTGTTGGATGGTCAAGACAGGGTTTCTCTGTGTAGCCCTGGCTGTTGCTCTATAGACCAGGCTGTCCTCAAACTCAGATATCTGCTAGCCTCTGCCTCCCGAGTTCTAGAATAAAAAACATGTGTCACCACTGCCTGGCTTATGAGAACTATTTAAACTTCTAAACTGGTATAAAACCATTTGCTTCTTATAGATACTGCTCCTTTTGATGTATTAAAATATTAAATGCTAACATACATTTGGGAAAGTGTGTGTGTGTGTGTGTGTGTGTGTGTGTGTGTGTGTGATACATTGTAGTCAGAGGCTAAGGTTTTGAGCCAAATGGATCTTTTCAGAAGTCTTTACTCAGTCATGTGACCTTAGTCAAATTGCTGACCTCTCCAAGTCCCCTATCACTTCCTCTGAGTACAGGACAAACACAAGACCAGCTTGAGCCCACCATCATTCTAAGGATGGAATAAAATCACATACATGAAGCATTCAGCATAGAGCAAATGGTAGCTCCTTTTCAGTAGAAGAATATTAAATAATTTGATTTCGAACATGTCACTGACTGAACAGGTTGGCCATCACAATGCAATTTGCCCTCCACTATCACCTGAATAATACATGGTTTTAATGGCTGGTTATAGCATATTATAATAGAGCTACTGCCTCATTTCCTGTTAAATTTAATTGCAGTGAAGGCTACTGCTCTCAGGGATGAGTGAAAGCCACATTTCCCAAAGTGCGTCAGAGGAAGGTGCAAAAATTGTTATCTTGATAGAAAGACTCAGAAAAAAAAAAAGTGTAGGTTCGTGTCAAATAGCCCTAGGAAGTGGCAGTCACTGGAGATTGAAGATCTGTGAGGGCCCAGTGTGTCTGTGAAAGACAAACTCTCCTTGCCCACAGACAGGAAACCTAGTAGGCAACATCCTAACTTGCAAACCCCGCAAACGGTGCAGGGTCTGCAGGCTAGATCTATGGAGCGATGATGAATCCACACTGGCTGGAAACTCCCTAGGCCACAGAGAACTGGCGAGATCCAAACACGAGATGGAATGCCGGGGTGTTAACAAGCAGCTGGCACGGCTCGGCCCTGTGGATTCCATCTACACAAAGCAGTGCCCAGGGATGCCAGGGAGTTCACTCACTTACCTGCAAGGGTTGGTGATTTCCTCCGGTGTTGTCTTCATAAAAGGAGAAACGGGCTTTTCCACAAACGATCCGAAGCCCAGTCTGAAGTTGCTGGTTAATTTGGACATCTCCTTGGCAAGCCGGGAGCCCAGCTCTTTGATTGTGTTGAGGTCATCGTCCATGGAGGCAGAGAGGTCCATGAGGTAATATAGATCTACTGGGTAATCTTCCGTCTGGCGGACCTGAACTTGCAGAGTCTGCTCAGCGCCTGCAATGCCCAGTGAGGGAGGCAAATCAAGAAACACAGCACTTTTGTTTTTTGTTTTTGTTTTTGTAACTAACCAATCTTGAGCTGGCTGGTTGGTTTATTTCAGTGTGACCTTATTAAGATGCGGGCAATCTCAAGAACTGTGTGGTAGCATTTGTAAATGGACACACAATAAATAAATAAATAAATAGATAAATAGATAAATAAATAGATAGATAGATGGAAATCTCTCAGCAAAGAGTTCTGAAGGAGGTGTATGTTGGGATATTTTATATCTCCTTGGAAGAAGTAGCATCCATTTAGATGGAAGACAGCTGCCTTTCTGTGTGTGAAATTTTAGAAAAGGTGAACCAATTAAGGGACAGATAGGTCAACATTTCTAGCCCTTAAAGAAATGTGCAGCCGTGTGGTCGACATTTGAGTAATTCAGATGGTCGCCATCTGGGAAGCTGTCCTCAGCGACACGTTTAGAGCACTATGAAGAGAAGTGTTAGCAAGCGCCCCTTTCCTTCAGATTGGGAATCCCAATAACCAACCAACTATGTGTGATGGGGTGCCAGAGGAATTAGCCGACGGCAGGTCACAGACACAGCACTGGAAAATCACACTGTACCTGGCCTCAGTTTAAGAACCAAGCTTTGCGGAGCAATCTGAACAATGTCGGAACTATTCTGCTGTCGGCCCACGCTGAGAGGCTTATTTTGAAGTATTTCTACTTGGGAGACAGGGTTTTCAATGAAGGGTAATTGACATCCTTTGGCTAAAAGATTTGCTGGGGTGTCACACCTTTCGCCAACTCCAGACAGGTGGGTGAAATTCTAAAAGGGGGGAAAATAATAAAGAAGAGACAAATGTGCATTTCTTTATAAGATTCCAGAAATTATTTCTCTTATTTGTTTTGTGAGATGAGTACATGCTAGGTACCTATACCCCCACGTGACTGGTGGAGATTGGCAGATGGAGTTATGTGTCAGCTGAATAAGTAAAGAATTTAAGCAGCATTTTTTTTCCAGAAAAACTGGAGCCTCGTTATTACTATTATTATTATATTTAGTTGAATGTGTCTAACAGGTTTTGTTTTTTTTCAAAGCCCATGTCGTAAGGTTTCTTTAGTGACCTGAATGAATCTTTTAAATGGCTGACTTCCCAAAGTTGACATTTTCCTGTGAATTTATTTGTTCAGGATGAATGGCTGGTTCCTGGACTCCTAGGACTGAAAAGCTTTGTGTGTCTGTCACTAAACCCGGAAAGGTGTTTCCTGTGGGTTCCTAAAGAACAGGACACTTGACATTTCCTAGTCTGGCACTCTGCTATTTTTTTTTTTTTTTTTTTTTTTTTAGCTGATGTGTTCCATTCAATTACAGCATCATTCCACTGAAATTGACCTCTCAAGGACTTTAAGCTCAGTGTCTTAAAGGATTCTAGTTCAAGGTCTTTTAGAGCCACCACCCCAACCCCCAAAACCCCGGGCCCTGCCACAGTCTCAGAGGCTGAAAGAGAAGATGTCTGCAATCTATCTGGGTGTGTGTGTGTGTGTGTGTGTGTGTGTGTGTGTGTGTGTTTGTGCATGAGTGTGCTCATGGGAGCCAGTTTAGTGCCTACTGAGAACCAAACTAAACTTCATATTTTTCCTCACCCCTTAGGATTCTAAGCCATTCCAGCTATTTTGACCAGCCAGGAAAGTTACATTTCTTCTGAAACTGACTTTTGAAAACACAATGTGTTACCTGCCAATCAGGCCTATGCAGATTTGCAACTGTAATCTGGGCATGGCAAAGTCTGCAACTTCCCACGATGTAACAAAGGCAAAGCCTGGCTGGGCAAGGCCTCAGCACCCTTCCCAACACGGTGCAGTGGCTGTCAGCCGTGCTCAGGCTTTGCCGAAAGAATGGAGGCGGTGTTAACTGCAGAAGCAGTTTGTGTACACCCACGCTTTGTCCACCCTCTGCTCTGATGGCCACGGCTATCTGCCGCAGCTGATGTGCTAATGACTGCTTCTGTTATTGGAGAGGTCTCTGAGATTATTTGTCCTCTAAACTTGATCACTTGGCTAGCTACAACGAAAACTCTCAGTAACACCGTAGGAAGCACTTATTTATACTAAAAAATGAAGCTGATTATAAATTCTAGTGGGCTGAAGAGATAGCCCAACAGCTAAGAATGCTTACTGCTCTTCCAGAGGACCCGAGTTCAGTTCCCAGCACCCACGTCAAGAAACTCACAACTGTAACTCTAGTTCCAGGTGATCTGATTCCCTCTTCTGGCCTCCGTGAGTGCACCCACCCACCCACCCACACACACACACACACACACGTACAAGGTAAACAAAATTCTCAATTGATATAATTTTTTTTTGTCTCTTCCATGAAACTAATGTTGTCTTCCAGATGGTGTCCAAAGACTATATGGGTTAGCCCCTTGCTGACCACTCTCAATCCTGCATTTGTTTGCCCTTAAAAGAGTATAATTGCCTGGGATTTTATGTGTGGCTTATGCAGTTGAAGCAGCAGAGGGGGAGTGAGCTGGTTGTTGCTTTCTTGTCTGTGAGGCGACCCTCCCCAGATACATAATAAATGTGGACTTTAGGTCCTAATACTTACATCCCAGTTCTGAGCCAGGCGTCTAGATTCCTTTCCCTTTGAGCATGCCACTTGGCTCTTGTCGGCATTTGTAAGCCTGGATTGGCACTTAGATTCTTTCCAGTGGGTGGGACATAAAATGCGAGAGCCTCCTTTCCTCAGCGTGACTCCCTCACAGGCTGCCCTCTGCATGGCTACTGCTCAGGCTGTGACTTGGTCTGTCTGAGTAGACAGCCCGCGTGGTCTCCACACCACCTCACACAGTTCTCACTCTGACCAGATGAAAGACTGTTCCTTTAGGGCAGTGGTCCCCAGCCTTCCTAATGCTGCCACCCTTTAATTCAGCTCCTCATCTTGCGGCAACCCCCCAACCATAAAACTGTTTCGTTGATACATCATAACTGTCATTTTGCTACTGTTATGAATCATACTGTAAATCGCTGTGTTTTCCGGTGATCTTACGCCACCCCTGTGAAAGGGTCATTCGACCCAGAAGGGGATTGCAACCTACAGGCTGAGAACCGCTGCTTTAGAACCTCGCTGTGCTCACTCAGTTCACAACCATGGAAAAGAATTGCCTGATTCATAGTTTTCCCTTCTGGGAAGGAGTACCCTGCAGAGACCCACAATGGATCTCAGGTCCCAGAACAGGAACAGAACTACGCTGCATCTGCTTCACTTTGGACAACACCTCCATGGCCAGTTATCCAGACAGAAGGTGACACCTGCAACCAGCTGGGAAGACTTTACAGTAAGAGAAGTAACCAGACGGCTGGCACCCCTTTAGTCTCAGCACTGGCCAGGCAGAGGCAGCCGTAATTCTGTGAGTTCCAGGCCAGCCTGCTCTATATAGTGAGCCCCGGGCCAGCCAGTGCTATGAGTGAGGCCCTGTCTCAAAAATAACAATAAAAAATTAATTAATTAGATAATTAGCTAGATTTAATAAAAGATCTTAAGTTGTTGTTTTTTTTGTTTGTTTGTTTTTAAATAATTTGACATCCATTCCTTCAGTAAGTTGTTTTCAAGGCATACACAAATACATTGGTCCACTGACACTCATGTTCTTTTATTGATCTTCTTCACTCATTCCGCCCCACGGAGAGGAGCGCTTTCATTGATGTGTAAAGGGTGTTAGAAACAGGGTGATAGGCAGTGGTTACCTCCTGGGAGCACCAGGCACAGTGAGGTCCGGAGAGCAAGCAGTCTGAGCAGGTTTCTGCAGCACCCCAGGCACAGTCACCTAAGGGCAAAGCCAGCAAGAGGCAGCAGTTAAAACACTCTCATTCATTCCGCTTAGGGTACAGACACTTCCAACCTGAGCAAAGCTATAACCGAAATTTACTGTAGAAAATTAATCATCCGAAGGCTAGCAACTCACATCCAAGTTTACGGTTTATGCCCATCACATTGGAAATATCTACACTGTGCAAACAGAAATTAGTTCTCCTCTGTCTTAGACCACGACAGTATCTAACAGCCCCGCAGCGGAGAATCATCCGGTTCATTCTCCTATTCAGCACCTGCCACTTAACTTCAGAACCATGTCGGCACTCATTAAAAATGTTTCTCTTATAAATTCAGCATTTCTGTTCCTGAACTCCATCCCCACTCTCCAAGCTCCTGAACTCCATCCCCACTCTCCTGAGTGGCCGGCCTTGTAGTACAACAAAATAGCAAAGCTTCCAAAGGTGACTATCGTACCAACGCTCAGACGTTCCATTGTGCAGTAAAGCTGTCTAATTCTCATTAAAACGCCTGTGCAACCTTTGTATTTATTTACCCAGCACCTAGAGCATTCGCTGGGGGAAATGCCCCGCGTCTGCCTATATAGTTTGTTAAAGCGTCTCGGTGGCAGGAGAGCCATCAGACAGATCAAATGAAAAATGACTGTAGGTCTGCTTTCTGACCCAAATGACAGTTTGTCAAGCATAGGACGAGAGTAAGATATACGGGAGAGCTTCGGTTTTACCTTGGACGCGATCATTCCTTCCTAGAAGTAGCAGGAACAGGCAGAACAGCTCAATCCCCATTCGGTTCAGTTTTCACTGTGCAGACAGATTAAAAATGAATTACCTTCAGGGTTACAAGACCAAAGCTGGAGGCCGTGAAAGTCTCTTTCTTGCAGTGTTTTTTTCTTTCTTTCTTTCTTTCTTTTTTTTTTTTTTTTAAAAAGTAAAACTACTCACACTGCTTTGAAAAGTAACCTGAGCTGTGAATTCAAAAGCTTTCATTAAGACTGAAATGAAAACAGAAGCTACCTGGACAGGCGAAGCAGAAAAGCTGTGTTTAAAGCAACCTCAACATGATTACTTCCTCATTCACCTTATAAGGAAGTCAGGTGTAAGGTGGGGAGACTCCTACAGGAGACATTTTTGTGTGTGTCAATTCTATTAGTCTAACTGTATCCCAGAGAAAATGAGTCTTCTCAGCGAAGTGGTGATCAATGAGCTGTCAAAAGGCCAATTGAAATGCATGGCATTCATCACAATTTTAATTTAACCCAGTAAGGATGTAAAACAAAATACCAGGACTTAAAGCTGAACGTAAGAAAGCTTAAAAAAAAAAAAAAAAACTGAAAATACCTGAGATTTTTGTTTTTCATGTTAGAGCCTCTTCAGAGACTTGAAATAAGCTCTGAAAAATATAAACATTATTTTACAGTCAAATTAGAAGTTAGACTAAGGAGAACAAAACAGTTTTCTTGTCTTTCAGATTATGTGAGATTTTTTTTCCCCCACAAGCATAGAATTCATATTTTTAAAAGTATATTAGAAACACAGTATGTGGTTATCAACTAGATCAAAATAAAGAGAGTCTTAGGGCAACAAGAGAAACAATTAAAAGAGAAATAATAGCAGCCAAGGTTCTGAAGCCATATCTCTAAAGCATCCCTCCAGGGTGGAGACCACGCAGAGCATTTGGTAGTCACAGAAAGGCCCTGTGCATCTCTTCAAGTACCAAGATCTCAAAGCAAACAAGCTGTAACCAGAAACCAAGGCTAAAAAGAAAAGAAAGGAAAGGTTCCTGGCATCTAGCTTGACACATAGGAATCATTTATTTGCTAAATAAAAGAGTGAACACCTCAAAACGTGCACAGTTGGGCAAATCTGTGAGGTTTGTTACCCCTTCCCCTGTACCCCCTTCTGCACGAGTTCAGTGGCGATTTGGGATTTGTAGAAACTGTGAGCAGGTAAGACTCAAATGGGCTGTCACTCTAAGCTATCTGACCTTAGACAGGCTCCTCTGTGTCTGGGCTCACGTCCTGGGAGACTATCTTTTGAAGGTATGTTTCCAGGCAAGCGTGAGAAACCTGTGAAGAGAAGAAAACAAATTATAGACTACTTGGATTTTTTTTTCCAGAAGCCTATATTCAGTTTTGAACTCTATCATATACAAAGCTCAGGGAGAAACCAGAAAGACTCCTGCAATGAGAATCCAGGTTAGGAGAAAATAACACGACATGTGGAATTCAGGGCTGCACTTGAAGAATGACAGAACCTTGACTTTCTGTGTCCATGATACTGCCTGCCTCCATCAGCAAGCAAGTGTTTTCTAAGCATTTACTTTGTGTCAAATTGTAGCAACAATTTTGGAATTTTGTTTTTCCTTAAAAAAAAAAAAAAAAACAAAAAAACACAGAAATAGGCCAGAGAGATGGCTCAGTGGTTAAGAGTGCTGTCTGTTCTTCCAAAGGATTTGGGTTCAATTCCCAGCACCCACATGGTAGCTCACAACTGTATGTAATGCCAATTCCAAAGGATCTGACACCTTCACACTAATGTACATAAAATAAAATTTAAAAAAAAAACAGAAATATTATAAGAATGTATTTTCATTTTAATCCCAGGTATGGGGATGTGGGGATACTTTGAACTGTCCACGGCAGCTAACTATGATTTCCCTGTGCTCTAGCAGAGACGTGGTTTTGCCAGATGCAATTAGTTTCTGTGATTGTGTGACATTTGGAATTCTGGGAACTTTTCAGAGGGTATGTAAATGATAGGACCCTGAAAGGCAGCATCAGTGGTTTTTGGTCATTTAGAGGGTTTGGTTGTGGTTTTTAGTAGTCGTGCTCAAGGAATAAACAAGAAGAAAGAAATTAGATTCAGGGATCTTTCTCTCTCTCTCTCTCTCATCTCTATCCTTCTTTCTCTCTTACCTAATGATAGAAGTGAAACTGGGTGGGAGAAAGAAGAAACCACAAAGTAGCAAAGCCCAGCTATATCAAATACATTTTAAAGGATATACTTTTATTTTTAATTGACATAATAATTTGATACATCCTTGAGGTAGAGTCGGGTGGTTTCAATGATTGTGTATAACGTGGCATATCTGTATATCACTGGCATATCTGTTACCCCAGACACATCATTTATCATACCAAAAATATATCATCTCTTCAGTGAATGTTCAAAATCCTCACTGATAGCTATTTTAAAATATTCAATAAATTATTGTCAACCAGAGTTGTCCTTCTGTGTTTTAGAACATTAGACATCATTCCTCCTCACAAACTATATACTGGTACCCATTAACCATCATCTCTCCATCCTCCCATCCTTTTCTGCCTACACTCTCCTATTTGATACTTCTTTGAGCCCAACTATTTACTTTCCATATATATATGAGTACATGTATTTATGTTTGTTTGTCTTTCCACTTCTGGCTTATTTCCCTTAACACTTTCCAATCTAGTCATATTGCTGTAAAGGACAGAATAAAAGTATGAAGTTTATAAACATCCAACTGGTGTCTCTGCACTGTACAGATCTCATTTTCTTTGAATATGGGCCTGGTAGTAAGACTTCTGAGTCATATGACAGGTTTTTGTTTGTTTGTTTAAAGCTTACATTTTCTAACGTTCTCTGTGTTCTCAATTTATTATTTATTTAGTGTGTGTGTGTGTGTGTGTGTGTGTGTGTGTGTGTGTGTGAACAAGTGCTGGTATATACATGTGATAGCATGAATTGAAGGTCAGCAGATAATTTTTTGGAAGTTGGTTCTTTGCTTCCTTCTTGTATTGCTGTGATTATAGATGTGTATACCCGATTACACCCAGCTTTCATGTGGATTCCAGGAATCAAAACCCGATTGTCACACTTCAGTGGCTGATGATGTCATCTGCTCGACTGTCTCCCCAGTGGGGTGGTTTCAGTTTTTGAGGAAACTGCTGCTTTTCCCCAATGCAGAAATTATTCTCTAAATTAAAAAGTATGTGTTATTTATTGTGTTGTGTAAGTGTTTGCCTGCATGTACATAAGTTTGCTGTGTGCCCACTATCTGCAGAACCCAGAAGAAGGTTTTGGCTTTCCTGGAACTGAAATTACAAACAGTTGTGAGCTGCCATGTGGGTCTAAGATCAAACCAAGGTCAAGAACAGCAAATGTTTTTAACTATTTAGCTATCTCTCTGGCCCTAGATATTATTCTCGAGGCAGAGTTTATATTAATAAAAGAAAAGAAATAAAACAGGGTTTTTATTCAGATAGCACATATTTTAGGCTGGGTCAATGAGGGAAGGGACAGACTCAGGCAGGGATCTGGGCTGTGGGTGGAAGATAAGATGGGTGTCTTCTATTTAGGGAGGTCAGGAGAGTCTTTCTGATTTTGCTATCTGGCAGAGTCCTATATGAGCCGGGAAGCTCAGCAAAGCACCCGAGCTTGAGAAAGCCTCACAATAGGTGCTTCTGAGGGAAAGGAGAAAGGCGTGGGGTGCGAGCATGATCCTGTCTAGAGGCGGAGGTCAGGATAGCTGCAAAACTGAACTTGAATTTTATTCTAAACAATTTTGAATCTCATTGGAAGGTTAGAACAAAAGGGGTGATATGGTTTCACTACTAGGATCCCTCTGGCCGGGTGGACGTTAGCACACCCCGCAGCAGGCGGTGTTCTCGGGGACAGAGATGGTGCAGGCTGGGACTAGGTCGTTGATGGTATGCGAGGGAAAGATGCGCCAGGATTCAGGCTATGTTTGAAAACGGACAGTGTTCAGGGGTTAAATGTAAATATAAAAGGAAGAAATGTAAAAGGAACTTTTATTCTCCTGAGGTAATTGTCATCTTGTAAGCTTACTACTGCTAACCTAGGCCTAGTCCTGGAAGCTTCTAGCCTCCGTACAATCTGACCTAGGCCTAGAATGTTTTCAGCCTTTGAGACTTACTGCTTAATAAGCTCACCCTTTCTTATTCTTACTGAGCTCTGGGCTGGCTGGTTCAATTCAGCAATTCTGGCTCAAACTCCTCTCCCAGCAAACTTATTCAATCTGCTGTCTCTCTTAGCCCCTGAATCACTCTGTTTAGCCTCAAACTAACTTCAGAAATCTGCTCTAGTTTGCTGGCTCCTTCTCATCCTCTGGCTCCTTCGGTCTTCAGCTGAGTTCTGACTCTGAAACCTGTATGACTCCCTGTTACTGTCCTGGTAAAACTGCCTCCTTTCTCTCTCTCCTTCTCTGTGTTGCTCCCTTGTTACCCTTTCCTCTATCTTCTCCTCATAGGTGGGTGTATCCTATTGTGTCAAATCTTCTCTGACCTTTTCTGCCACTCAATTAGGCATCACTTTCAAACATGGGTGCTTCCTTCTACAAACTAACTTTACCTTCATTGTTTGGGGTTAGAGGTGTGTACCACCACGCCTGGACCTAAGCTTTTCTTTATCTGAAAATTTCTCTATACCAGGCTGGCCTTGAATTTATATCTGCTTGCCTCTGTCTCCTGGATTCAGGGCATGTATGTATCCTAGCCGGATCACACAGACCTAGAAAGTCTTTGGATGTGATCTCTTGCCAGAACAGCCATGTTCTGAATTAAAACTCCTCTACAAGGAAACGTTTATGGCCTGAGATACTGAGTGGCAGGGCTTTTGATGCCTGAGAGGTTAGCAAGGGAAAATTGCAGTTTTCATATGGAAAATGAGCATCAAGAACAGGACATGTTTGAGATCCCAGGAGATGCCATGAATGCAGCAATATCTGCAACTTGGGGCAATATCAAAGTACAAACTGTAGACTCAGATATACCAACGTGGACCAACAGCCGTGGGGCTGAAACTATTCAAACACAGGCATCGGAATGAGATCTCCAAGGAAGTGAGCATGGGTGAGGAAGAGCCCTGAGAAACGGAGCCTGGCAGTGTGTAGCAGTCAGGAAAACATCACAGAATAAAGGAAACTGCTCTC